AAGAGGAAGGATTTAAACCGTGGCTTCATGATTGAAATACACACTGGATATGCACAACTTAGTCATCCATTTTCTAACCACTTCAGGATCGCAGGGGAGCTGCAGCCTATCCCAGGAAGCAGTGGGGGCAAGGCAGGATACATTCTGGACAGGACGCCCGTCCACCACAGAGCACAAACAGGCACAGCCGAACACACTCCAGGGTCTGTTTGCCCAGAAGCCCATTATCCTACCAGTACGTCTTTGGACTGTGGGAGGAAACCCACATTAACATGGGGAGAGTATACAAACTCCATGCAGCTGGCACCCCAGGAGTTCCCTGGGCCCCAAGACTCCAGCACTGAGGCAGCAGTGCTAACCACTGTGGCAGCATGCCCACATTCACCTCTTCACTCATTTTTTAATCTGTGGCGCAGTGGGGCTGCTAGTGCATTATGGCTATTGTGCATCTGCCGGGTGATGCCTCAATCCAGTGGTGGATCAACTGGGTCCCCTTTCATATGTGAACTATCTGGGATGAGACAGGATCACGCTGGAGCTCTGCATGGAGTTTACAGGTAATAGTTCTCCCCCAGTGTCCTCCATTGTCCAAAGGCTCATTGTTGGAGCTCACTAAATTAAACCTGCAGATGCATGTGTGAGGTTACTGTATGTGTGTGCAATGTAATGACAGTCCCTGACTTACAGGGTGTATCTTTCCTTGTGCCCTCTGTCTGCCTGGTTGGTCTCTGGCTCATTGTGACCCTGTATTTGACTAAGGTTATTAAAAATGAACCGATGGACGGAAAATCCACCACACCATAATAGTTATTGCTCAGTTCCTGCTCTGAGCTATTCCCTGACAGTAGTTGAGTTCATGACTGTCATAATTTGTTTACTTTAACAGCATCTGAAAACATTTCTCCAACCACCCACCACCCTTGTCTCTCACTATGCTTCATGCTTTTGTGATTATAAAATGTTGACAGCAATTTCAATGTTATTTCTCACCCACTGCCCTGTTTCTAGGTGCAAGACTAGGGATGTTTAACACTTTCACGAGAAAAGGATAATGAAGTTGAAGGTTACTTGTTTAACAAAAGATGTGCCAGCCTTTCTTTGCTATATTAAATTTATTTTATCCTAGGTGAGAATACACTTCCAGTAAGACTGCAGTTTATTCTCTTCTCCTTATTAAAAGCACATCTCCCCACCGCAAGTGCTCATTGTGAAAATGCGCTAGAAAAGCATGAAGCAGAGGAACTGGTAATTTGATCATGGGCAGTGGTGTTGAACTTTACAGACCCTGTTCGTGTCACGGCCTGTTGTCCAGAAGAAAGTACCAGGAGGACAAGTTAAGCTGGGAGATGCAATGTTCTTGTCTCACTTGCCATTATGTGGTAATTAGCTTACTGACACAACCATATTTGCAATAATCTCAGGAAATCAGCTTCACCAACCTGGCCAGGTTGTTCCTGAGGTTATTGAATGTCTGACAGCTATCCTAATAATGTTGTGGTAACATCATACAAAAAACTTCTCAGCTTCATTTATTTGTAGCAATGCAAATTTGTAGACCCCAGGGGCTGTTGTCAGAGCATTCTTTATAAATGTTTCCAAAGCAAAAACCTAACGTTGACACAATGCTAGTGCAATGTTCACTCATCAGCTTGTGGTTTTGTAACATTTTGACGTCTTAAAAATGTGCATAAAGCATTCTCAAGTGACCTCTTCTAAAAGCATATTCTGTACACAATGAACATCTTAAGCTTTTACAGTGTTAAGTCTGAAAGTAAAAAAATAATCTATTTGCACCCTTAAACATTTTAGAACACTTTGTCTAATGTAGTTAAATCATAACCTTAGGAAATGTTTCTACAACATGTGTATTAGCTGGATAAAGGATTAGAATTAAACTTGTGCTTGTCTGAATTTAAATGTGAGCCCTTAGCCCTAAACATTCCAAGCTGCCTGAGGTGTTATATTTTCTTATGTGAGTAAATGACAATCTGGAAAAACACAGTCTCCCGATGCACAATAATTCCTGTTGCAGCTTCCTTTTCTATTATCAGATTTTCTAAGTTTGGAATAAATAAGTGTTTGCTTCTACAATGCAGGTCTCAAAGGCCTGCAGGCCTCACAGCACTTAAACTAAGACTGATAGCACTGCTGCAGAAAGCTCAGCTCCATGCAGTTCTTGCAGCCTCCTCTAGTGTTAGTCAAAGCAGCTGTACAAACATGAAGCCTAGTCTCGTTAAAATTTAGGATCTAAATGAGAGCCCTGTTTGGATGGGAGGCTTTTGAGGGCAATATGGTTAGTGATTCTGGTTAGAAGGTAGGTGTAGCTCCTCCCCAGGACAGGCACAGTACAAACCCATTTCTCATTTTGGTGACAGGGATGCTTTATTACCACATCGCCAGTCACAGCACTCACTGTTGTTTGCACTTTTAAATGTATGTCCTCCAGACTGTTTAAATATCCCTTGACATTTGCTGGAAGAATAAAGGTTCTAACCTCTGTGCCTGAGATTTACTGCCATTTCAGCCTTTTCAATCGAGCCTACCTATGTATATTCCACATAATTTGATTTGCATAATACTGAATGTGATCACCCTCTCTGATGTGTATTTTAGCTGCTGGTGCATATAGAGAGCTGTACTTCAGAGGAGGATGAACAGAGCCTCCTGTTCTGTAAAAAAAAAAACATTTAGGGTCTTTTAGAAGGAATATTATTTTAAAATAAAAGGGATTAGTAGCAGTATTGTGGTACATTAACTTTTAGACAATCTTCCTCTCTCTGGCTGGTTTATAGATTGTAAGTTTTGGATTTACAAAGTGATTGTGTTTTAGAAAAACATTGCATTGTGCAGTAAGATGCCTTTTTCATTGCTGAAATCCTGAAACATGTATAAGCCATGTAAATAGCCTATCAAGATCACTGTAAATCCACTGCCGTGCAGCTAGGGTGTGACCTCAGGCTGCTGTCAATGTGTCAATAATTGCTTTTAAAATGTTTTTTTTTCTAAAGATTCCAAACTAAGCATTAAATCTACTAATAAATATGAATCTATGGCTGAGGTGCATTGACGTATTGTTAAGTATACAAATCTATATGGAGATAATCCTGCAATAAAGCTGACAAGTTTATTTGTGTCTGAAGGTGCTAACGGATGTGCTGAGTTCACGGGAATTTACTTCACTTCAGACCAGGAAGTTCTAATAAAGTGTGAAAATATGTTACAGCAGCCTATTTTAATTTAATTCTCTGCTGATTATCGTAATCATTTGTGACAAGAATAGAGATTTTTTTTCTGTTTCACAATGTAATCATCAGTTACAGTGTATAGTTCTCATCCTCAGTGGTAGTCTGCTCTCTGTTTTTGACAGTTCAAGCAAACAAAGACTGCTTCTTTAAAAATCTCTCTGAATGGCGGACTTTTATGTGTTACAGCAACAATATACTTTTTCAAAAACATTATGTGTAAATCTTTTTAAAAAGCAACAAGATAGAGGATTTAATAGCAACCAGTTGGAAATTACACACAGCTGTTTTGTGTTACTGCATATTATGTTAAATGTAAAGTATACTTTTATAATAATATTTGGTTAGTGGTTTATGTAAGGCCTTTTTGTAATGGTAAATGAAACAGTGCTTTTGGAAATCAACATGCACAGAGATGCGAGTATTTCTTGAGAACAATTACCAAGATTATTTGATGTGTCTTTATAATGTTATTAATCATTGATTTGTGAGATTTATGGTGTGTAGCTCACAAAAAAGGACATTTCTCATTTTCTCCAATTATAGATTTTGCCAGCTCTTTTTTATATCAATGACTTTTGCCTTACATTTTTGTCTCACACCATACAATGAGTGTTCATAGTAAAACTTTAAATTAGATGGGGTTAAAACATGTACTGTATGTATAATGTTTGTATGTATGATTTTTAAAATCCTCCTTCATGATACTCTGTTCTGCTTTTGTGTCAGCTTTACTTAAGTATTTAGTCACTACATGAATGCTTTATCTCCCTTAGATCAATGTATTTTTAGTCCAGTTTTGTTCATAATGTAAAAAAGTTACATCAATTATTTTTTTAACATAAATATACTGTATTGTTTAGACTGTTTTAAAAGAAAACCACAATAATAATAACAAAAAGCTACTATACACAACATTCTACATGGTGGTTACAATGTGAGTTATTTCTGTTAAAGATCAGAGTAATCTGACATGAAACACTGACCAATAGCTCTTATGCTTCATGGATCTGTCTGCTTCAGTTGAGAAACAGGGCACTGCAAGTCAAGTAAAATTGAAGGGCATCATGCAGTAGTGATCTTCACATCACTGTTAGAATAGATAATCTCAGAAATCACAGATAACTGTCCTTAGTGCCTGCGAGGACAGACCATTTCTATGAAGTACAGTCAGTGCTGAACTAATCAGCAATTGGGGTTCGCTATAATGCAGATGTGAGTTACCAGTAAAGGCTTTTATGCAGTAGATTGAAATCACACGCAGAAACCAGAAAATGAGATGAACAGAAATTAGAAAAGCAAACCAACAAAATGCAAAAACACTTTTAAGACATGGAAAGCAAAAATAATGTAATAATTTGTGGACATCAACTGATTTGAGCATCGGAAAATACTGTAAATTATTATTATAATCAATAATAGCCATAATAATAACATGTATTATTATTATTATTATTGTTGTTGTTGTTGTTGTTGTTGTTGTTGTTATTATTATAACATTGCCCTGCTGTTCAGTTTCAGTCACTTTGCTCTGGGTAGCCTAGTAAGATTGACACGTGTTACGCGGCCAGCCGGTAGGTGGCAGCCGCGGTTCGCGATTGCTTGACTGGAAGCGGCTGAGCTGGGCATGCACTACAGTCTCCCCGTCCCTTTCCCTTCATGGCATCAAGTGTTAATGCAATTGACCAATCAGTGGTAAGATGATGGGAGGTAATTGGGTAATTGTATTTTACCCATCACAGAAGCGAGTAAGGTAGGGTGAGATGGGAGAGTACAGCGAGACTGGCGAGAGAGCCCGTACAAGCCAGTAGAGGAGAGGGATGGTGATGTGCCGAAAAAGAGAGGGAGTGATTTCTGCGGAACTGCGGTGTGCATGCCTCTGTCAGCAGCCCCAAGCCTCTAGGACACAGTAGTGGATTACAAACCGGCGTGCTTTGAGCCGGGGAGCCGAAGCGCTTTCGGGATACAGTCTTGCCCGCAGTCGCTTGCGAAGAACAGACCTTTTTTTTTCTTTTCCCTCATCTTGCACATAGCTATGCTCCTTACAGGAGTAAATGAATGAAGAACCTCTTTGTCTTGCAGTAGAATTTCTGTAGAAGTACAGTACCTCCGCTATCTATGTGATTGCTGCAACTGAATTTTTATTTTTAGGCTTCTTTTTTGTTTTTGTTCTTGGAACTACTGGGAAGGACAACGCACGGTAATCAACTTGTGGATTTCTGCCGTATCCTTTTCCCTCTCTGTCTTGATTTCGCGTGGGGGGGGGAGGAGGAGGAGGGGGGTGTCTCGAAATGCCACTGAAATGCTGAAAGCTTCGCTGCAAGGAGAACTGGAGAGAATTTGGGGGGAAATTGTTGTCGGATGTCCTCCTTGATGGATGCTCTCTGTCACGGCTTGAGAAGACCGGGGGAAGAAGACGCGGAGCTATAAATATGACTGCTGTAAATGCTAAAGCATGCACAGATTTGGAAATCAACAACTGAGGGGGAAATAAATCGACTGACAGAAACTCCGGTTACGAAGGGACCACGCTTATTACTGTACGGGAAAAATGGAGTTCGTCTTATTTTCAGAGAGGCTCTCCGATTCCCAAGTAAGAGGGATGCAACGATCGCTAAATATAGAAAATAATTAAAAAAATATTATTTTTTACAAAAGCCGGTTTATAGTTCGTCTCAACGACCAGCCAAAGAATACATACGCACTCAGCAGGCAGCATCAAAAAGGAAAATAAGAATCTGGAAATCCGCACTGGGCTGTGAGTGGAAATCTAATCAGAATCCTTAGGGTACTAGTGTTGGAAAAAAGTTCTATCGGGAAGAAAACAGAACATAAATCAACACACTTTGAAAGGATGTACTGCTCGGGACTATAATGGAGAATCACAGAAAATCATTTTTTGTTTGTTTGGTATGACATATGGTCAAAATATAAACAAATTACTGAGCAAGCGTCTTTTTATTAGATTATGATGGATAATCTTTGGCGAGAAAAGGGATTCATTCTTGAAAAAAATCGCCCTAAACTGAAAACAGGATAAAAAAACAGTACAGGGTGCCTTTTTTAAAAAAAAACCTGAACGTCAGTTTAAAGGAAGTACCAGCGGCTATCCCGTAGTTTTCTTGAATTTGTGCTGTGAAATGAGGAGATTAAGTCAGCACATACCAAAACAAATAAAAACAGTTGCACGCATTTAATTGCCAGAAAACTTAAATACATGTATTTCTTTATTCGTTAAGAACCGGAGACGCTGTGCGCTGTATTTCCCTGGATCCTCTGAAATTGATTGAAAATTGCAGATGGATTTTTGTTCCAATAGTCTTGGGGGAGGGGGGTCGTTGAAGCGGAGACCACGGATTTCTCGTTTTGATTTCGAGTAAAATCATCAAGGTAGGAGAAAAGTGAGTATTTATTGATGATCCATTGAAACATGCGTCATGTTTTACCTCTATAAATGGCAGTTTATAGTTCCGCTTCATTTTATCGAGGTGTTCGTATTTTGTATTTTTTAACTGGTTGATATCTAAATTGTAGTACTGTATTATCTATATTCTGTAGGAAATTGAAAAGCAGTAGAAAGAGTTGTCTGTACATCGATGCTAGGATGTTACCTTGCTTCGATTTTTTATGAAGTGTTTTAACAGAAGTATCAGCGTCGCTGCATGTAACCTGTTTTGGCAATAGTTAAAACATATGTAAATTAGTAACCCTTTCAGGTGACTTAAAACAGATAAAGGTCATAGACCATAAATGTAAATATATGTGTGATTGTATGTGAAACTGTTTATTATGTATACAGTTATGTATCTAGTAACTACTAAATTATTTTTCGTGCTAAATACTGTCAGATCTTTCCTTTTCTCTGAGATCGTACTAGCACGTTAAAAAGATTCTAATTATGGATTATTCCACACGAACACATAATATATATATACATCTTCAGCGAGCATAAGCATGTTTATATACAATTAATTGGCTTGGTGTTAGGTCTATAGCTTTTTACGACTGATTTATAAATATATAATCGCATCTTCACTTTAGATTCCTGCAGTGCTTTTCCCTCCTGCGCTAGCTCTCTGCAACTAAGAAGCAGCACTGGCAATAATGCTGTTTCTTATCATGGTTATTCTCTATTTTTAAATAAAAGTTGTAATGAACCTTTCCCAATTACAACACGTTACACGTGAACGAAACAGTTTTGACAAGTTGCAGCCTTTGGGAAAGATAAGAAAACAGGAACTTTTAAAGGGAGGGAGACCTAAGGTTTCAAACTCATAATTCAAGATTGAGAGCAAATCTTAAAATCTGCTCTTTAAATACAACTGTGTACGTGATTTATTAAAATCTGGATATCTGTACCTGCTGCAGCTGCTTGAAACAGCATAAGGTTCCAAAAGCCCACTTCGTTTTTAAATGCTTACCCTGCCTGGTCTGTGGTCATTTCAATTCCAGAAGCAGTGTTCAGTGTACTGATTTCTGCAGGGGTCTATGGTAGATCTGCAGTAAGTGTTTTTATCTCGTTAAGCCCTGAAAGCTCCATAATTATTGCTGGACTAGCAGTAGTAAAACATGTATTTGGAAAGCAAATGTAAGATATGCTGAAGTCAATAATTACGCCTTTTTGTGCAAAAAAAAAAAAAGTAGACCCGCGCTTATGTGGTTGTTCGGCGAAGTCGACTACTATACTAACCTGTTAGCTGCAGGTTCGCAGCTGGTTTGAAAGGGAACTGTCCACTCTTAGTAAGTGCTGAATGAATCTGGTACTGTACAGCTTTCTATTTTGAACTGAGATCTATGCCATGGTTTATAACCTCTAATTAAAACAGAAATGACTACACCCCTGGGCAGGACACTTTTCGGCATTGGTCTGCGTGATTTAAACTATGAAGAAGAAAAAGGTTTAGTCTGAGTGCCGTTGTAAACCTATATTATATTTGCTTTTTGAAAGTAGAGAATATTGAGCTATACAGTATCAGTTGTAGCAGAATTAATTACATATAGCAAGTCTGGGCTCACACCGACGATGCAGCTAAATTATCATTTAATCACATCAGTGTTAAGAGTCTGTTTTGTCCTCACATTCATGCTCAACATTATTATTAGTCGAAGAGAAGTTGTGTTATAGATTCTTGAAAGCTAAACTTTGTACAGTATAGTCAATGGCACAATCTGCATTAAAAACAGTGAATAAAATAGCCTTGCTTATACCTGTGCTGGAGTAGAGGAGTAAAGTGATTATCTGTTGATGTACAGTATAGCAGTAATATGTAGAAAAAATAGTTTTCATGTATCTATATAACTTTCAGATTTATATTTTCTAGCTAAATTGTACGTCTCATGTGCTTGATTTCTTGATGCTGTGGGTCCGCTTTTTGTATTCTGTATTTGGCGAGTTGCACAGGTTTTGTCAGTTCGTTTCTTGGCATTCCTTGAAATTAAATAAATAAATCAGTACAATTATAGAAGGACCACATACTGGGGGAAAGATTGTCTTATTGTTAATGTCCCAAGGTTGTGAGTATGCGTGTTTCCAATTGTGCGGCAAAGCTGTGCAGAGTGGATTTCATCTATGCTATCTGAAAGTAGTCCGCAATTTTACAGATACAGTACATGACTGGTTTTTGTAGTAAACACAGATAAAACCATACGTTAAGACTTAAGTTAAAATAGTAACTTCCTGACTAAAAAAATAGTTTCCGTGTTGTTGAAGTAATCATTTTAACAAAAACAGTGCAATACAGAACAGTACAGTACCTCTGTGATTATTACGTAAAATAACACAAAGTTCAGTTAACAATGTACGTTATCTTACAGATATTCGTTGAAACTGCTCACTTTGGCCATTTTAATAACCGTTCTGCTCGTGGGACACACAAAGTAGTCAGCGAGAGAGAAGTTCCAGTGGATTCATGTAAACGTTCGCAAGTGTAAGGAACAAAAATGCAATTTAGTGGTTATTACAAACTTTTTGTAACGATAGTTCTCTAATCGTGGCTTTTCTCAGAAGCCAGTGTGCTGAAAATGTGCAGTAATGTAAAATAAAGCTGCAGTACCTGGAACTACGCTATTTATGCAAACTCTAGCCTTCCCCTTTGTTTACTATAGTATGACAAATGTGACTCTTATTTGTCAGCTTCTATATGCAATAACGAACAGAACAATATTGTCAATAATTACGTTGCGTTCTCTTTAAAACAGAAGTATACAGTACATGTGCTTTGCCTGCCTTTGAAAATGGATTTGCAGACAAACTAGGCCTACAGTATGTACACGTGGAGAATGGTACAGTAGCTCAACAATTTTTAACATTGTGTTGATGGGTAATATACTGTATTCAGAAACCGGGGACGGAGTTGTAAATTACTGTATACGTGCAATATTTTTAATTGAATTTATTTTAAATATTTTAATACAGAAGCAGCATACGAGAATGACAAATGTCTAGGTGATCTGTTTTTTTTACAAGTTTAAACTTATTGGGGAAAAGGGGAGCAAATTTTTATTTTTAATATTTTTAATATTTTTATTTTCGACTTTCAAATGAGCATGTCCACTAACGACAAAAGCTACAGCAGTCAGGTCGAGTATAATTATTTTCAGCACGTCTTAACGAGTTTCAGTCTCGGGATCTTTAATAAATGCAGCTAGACAGCCGTGTAGTGTATTTGCGGCGGTTAAATGATCAGAAAATATTTGTTTACATCGATGCAGAGGACCCTTCTTAATCGCTTGGACAAGTGTGAACAGAGTGCTGCAAATGAACGACACTTTTGAGAGCTCTGACTAATCTACTAGCCCCTCAGAGGTGCTCAGACGGAGTTAATGGACACTGACTATTGTAATAGGAATTTTAACAATTGTTCATGAGGCTATATCGATTTGGATCTCAACAGGACAGGAATATTTCAGCTTCAAATTAAGTGCTTTGCTCAAATATAAATCTTGAAGGTGAACGGGATTGAGCCATGCTGATAACTTTTGGCTTTTCTTGAAGCAAGCTAACAGCAGCTTCTCCTCATATCACTGTCTCCTGCCAGTTTTACCAAGGGGTTTTGACAGAGACCAATTACAGAGATAAACTAATTCGGGTTCTTTCCTATTTAAATGCAGATCCAATTTTAAGCAAATTTAAGCCAACCGAGCTGGCATAAAAAATGTTGACAGCTGAGTTTTGCTTCACTGCAGGGATAAAAAAAAAATGACTCAAAGATTCAGAGGTTGAATAAATGTTTCCGTAAACTGTATATCAGACTCCAACCCCTCAAGAAAAAAAAGAAGCAATTTAAACATTTTTGTGTGAGCTCTCAGGTATGGTACACTGATTTCAAATTTGCAGAAGAGAAATATGAAAACTAGCTCCTTTGTCTTAATTTTGCTTACCTGTGTTCCACAGAGAAACACCAGCAGCTACAAGGATCTTAATCCATAGCAGCACAACTGTAATCTCAGGTGGCCACATGGAGTTCATGTCTTCTTTGAACTCATTTAGGCAGTAAACTTTTACAGGAAAAGAATATCCAAGCATGATGAGTATGATATTTTAATCTCTAATGCAAGCCAGAATTAACACTTCTCAAAGCAGAATTTGTACAGAAAAAGACAGCAGATACTTTTAGCTGACATTTCACCAAGTACCAGTTACAAAAGAAGGAATTCACATTTTCCCAAACAGAAAAAGTGCACTCTATGGTATTAACTGCTCACATGAGCAGAACTTAAAAAAAGAAATCCATAGTTAAAATACAACGAGGCTTGTGTGTGGCTACAAGACACTGGAATTGGGAACTGCTGGCATTCTGTATTCTTGTTTAGAAAGGCTACATTTCTAAACAATTACAACAATTACTTGTTTATAAAGGTGGATAACAAAATATTTGTTAGCGATGTTCTCCCCCACGTCTTGAAGGTATGTAGTCTTTTGTACATGCACATGAGTTAGAGTCTGTTTTTTTCAAATACCAAAATTGCCAGTTAAGTGAAATTAGACACTAATTCTTAGATAAGGTTTTGGGAAATTCAGAAACGTTTTAAAGACTTTGGACATTCCTACTGAATACAGAAAAAAAAATAGATTGAATTCTAAAAAAATATCAGGCTTGAATATGTACTGTAATACTGTACCTCTAACGTCTTATGCCCTTGGTCATAATGCTGTTAACACTCAATTTAGGAACTGTGAATTCCAATGAGGTTGTAATGTCTTCTCAACTCTCTTTTTCTTTACAACATACCCAGAAATTCCAAAGTCTTCAGCAGAAAGCAAAGATTAGGCTTTGGATCTGTGTAACTTTTTAAAGTACCCACAGGATTAAAATGTAATTATTCCTCACCTGTAGTCTGTGTATGCTAATCTCATAATTGCTTCAGTCTGACCAAAGTCTATTTTTTCTATTCTCAGTGA